GTATCGCAGCTCCTGAAATGACAAAAGTGCCTCCCGTAGAAATGCCGGGAGGTGGGTCAGGATTTGAACCCAGCTCTGATTCCCTGAGTCCCTTATTTTTCTGCCTTTGGATGCAACTGGTCCTTCTGGTCCTTAATGTCTGTTGCTGTGTCGTACCCAGGTGATAATGTCTGTTGCTGGTTAGTGTGCTGGCTCTGAATTCGTTGCCTGATAGAGATGTGACATCCCCCAGCCTTCCGTGTCATGCAGTGGCTGGCTTTTGCACCACTGGCCACTGGGTCTGTTGAGGCTTCCTGTGTGTCGTCTCCTGTCGTCCTCTCTGCACCCGAGACTGGGCTCTGTCCCGAGTCCCTTCTGCAGACAGGGAGCCAAGTCACCTGGCAGGCCCTGCTAAGGCCTGGTCAGGGCGAGGCCAGGCAAGCCCAGTGGCTCCTGGCAGCAGAGCCTCCCATCTGTCGCGTGCACCACGCTTCCTCTTGGCTGCTGGCCGGCCGACGATTTTACTGTCATCAGCTTCCTTTTGGCGGTTAATATCCACAAGCTATTACTTCCTTTTTTAAACCAGGTGAGCTCATTTTTCACAGTAATCTGATATTAATCCTTTTTTTTTAATGGCAGAATACACATAGAATAACCTGAAACATGCTGTGCTGAGGTGTACACACTCACATGGCCTACAGCCCTCTGCAGAAGGGATTCTGGGGGATCCGATCTTCACATGGGGCCCTGGCCTCTCCCTGGCCCCAGCAGCTTCCATTCCGCCCTGTAAATTTGTGCCCCCTGCAGATGCCAGTGCGGAAGGACTCAGCCCACGTGCGTCTTTTCCCACCTGCTTATGTCACGTGGTGCTGCGTTCATTTGGCTCCTTGGGGTGGAAATGAGGCTGAGCCTTTGAAATGTGAGTAGTCACCTCCTAAGGTGCCTTCAGGACTCTGGCTTCCGCTTAGCAGGGGCTCAAGAAAGGACTGGTGGGAACCACAGCTGCCCTAGCAAGGGCCGGCCTGGGTCAGGGCTGAGCCGTCACGGGGCAGGGTTGGGCTGAACTTGCTTCTGAAGCCATGTGGGTCTGTTCCATGAGCCTCTGGGCCCCTCTCATGGCCCCACCAGAGCTTGGGACCCTAGCCTCTCAGCGCCTTCATTTCTGGAGCGAAAGGCAGGACAAATGCCTCAGGGCTCACTCATACCGAAAGGAGTTCTGAGGTCTCTGTTATTACACTTAAATGCAGTGTTCCCCAGATTTCAGTTTTTTCTTCACTCTTACGATTGGATTTTTTTTTTTTTATTTAAAGAGAATACAAAAAGTAGCAAAAAAGAAAGATTAAAAGCAACACAGAATTTCACTAAACAACGATAGGAATTCAACAATGGCTGCTATGTTGCATATTGTTCTCTTCAAAGTAGTTCTTCAGATTATCAGATAAGCCTGTAAAACTGGTCAAAAATTGTAAAACAAATTAAAAAGCAGACAGAAAAATATTTAAGCATTAACTGCTCCTTGCGGGAGACCAGCAGACTCGGCTGCACCGCCATGGTTATCCCGGCGGCCGCCCTGTGGATGCGCACGCTTCCTTTTCCCTCCCTTCCTCCTCCCTTTCCCTCACCCCGTCCTTCCCTTGGGATGGTTCTTCCTCTTTCACAGCATCCATCGAACCTTTCAGGTCCCGTTGGCTCTGTCAGGTTCTGGGGAGGCAGTACGATGTTTACGCAGGCGGGTCTGACTTGTTTCCCTTATGAGCATGCTCTCTAGTTGCATCCCTTTACCTATAAAAGCCTCGAGTTTGGACTTTGTTTTCTGTTAAGAATGACCACAAGTGGAAAAACAGTGTCCCATACTGTGAAGCTGGGAGCCCCAGGGCTGCCCCCTCTCATCCACGCGGAGATGCCAAGGACCCTGGGGGCCGCGTGAGAACTGCTCCTGCCTCAGCTCCAAGAGCTGAAGGAGAATCCAGGAGGGAATAGAGTGTTCATTTTATGACTTACAGTTATCTAATTCCATGACGGCTCATCCCTAAATCCTCGCTGCTCCTCGGCTGCTGAGAGTCCCCGGTGCTGTGCGAAAGCCTGTTGTTCAAGGATCACGGAGCTTATCACCTGCTCAGATGTGAGACTGGGCGGCAAACGCTGGCCGAGCCCCAGTTCTGCGCAGACGTTGGGAGCATCTTACATGTTCTAGCTTGCGTTTCCTTCACCACGACACGGTGGGCACAGATGTGCCTGAGCCCCATTTGGCGGATGAAGAAGTGGACGCTGTGAGTGTTTCCTGGCCAGTGGCCATCTGTCCTCTCGCTGGTAGCTGACAGAAGCTCTTGGTGGCTTGGATCTTTGAGCTGACCCCCCTGGGAATGGCCACGGGCTTGAGGACTCTGCACATGGATTAATACTGCGCTTCTGTTCCAGGACGGGGAACATGGGCCAATCTGGATTTCTATTCATCTTGTGTCAGCAGCAGTGACAGCTTCACAGAGAGAGGCTGATAAGCATCAGTCCAGAGGCTGGCAGCGGCCAGAGCACAGACGCATCGCAGACCGGCCGTGTGCGCGGCCAGCCAGGTGCCAGGCTGGGCGGGCCGCTCGGCTGCCGGTGCTTGCCTGCCCTCCCCACTGGCCCGTCTGCGGCCCTGTGCCAGGCGGCACCATTGCTGCCTGACAGGGTCCTTCTGAGAGCTGCCTCAGCTCCTTCGGCCTCAGGCTCTTCCTCCATTCGGTGGGGCTTCTAAGCGATCGCAGTGTCTGCAGCATAATGAAGTTGGCCATCTGCAAGTGTCTTCAGGTGGGCGCTCCGAAGGGGGCGCCCACTCCCACAGGGGCGTACGTGCCGCTTTGGCGGGGCTGCGCTAGGGACCGCAGGCGTAGGACCTTGTCCAGGGAGTGCTCTGGCCTGTTTCACTATTGTTTTATTATCTGTTACTCATCTGCTTTTCGGAATGAAATGCGCGTCCCAGCGACAGTGTAGGAGACAGGTGCCAGGCAGCAGGTGATCCAGGACGGAGGCTGCGCGTCCTTGCTGCTGCCCAAGGGCCCTGAGCGCGCCCTGCTCAGGGAGGCCAAGTACATGTGCACACGCGTGTGTATGCACTCATGGTAGCGTACGGAAGTGTGAGCGTGCTGTGACATGCACACACGTGTCAAGGTGCTGAGATGAAGGAAAATGAACGCAGCTTTTCAAGTAACCCACAAGAAGGGGCGGGCAGAAGCCAGGCCCGGGGGCGGAGGGTGGGCGGGCCGTTCCCACAGGCGCTGCACGTCCTGCCGCACGTTTGCATCCATGGCCTTATCTTGATTGATTTTCTATTATCCTTACGGTAATCTTGTGAGCCCGAGCTGAGCAGAGATCATGGATTCCCATTTTTCTCATGGGTAAACTGAGGTTCAAAGGTGACTCAGAGCCCAGTGCTTGGTGTGCATCCTATGCCTGGTCACAGGCAGGGAAGAGACCCTGTGGCTGGGGAGCGGGTGGTGCCGCATCGTAGGGCACGGCCCTTCCGCGCATACTTACACCATGACCCCTCAGCCGAGGCTTCCTTTTGTGCCATCTTAGCTGCCCATGTGGAACCGCAGTCCCCAAGAATTGTGTGAAAGATTGCAGCGAGAAGCAGCTCAGCCTGTTTTAAACCGTCCCCCTTTCTGCGCAGTGCGCTGAAGTCCTGTGACCCCATTTTCAGAACATTGGGCAGTGGGCCATCCTTGGACGGTGTGTCCACACTGTGTCACTGCTCAGGCCCCAGCCCCTCATTGGTCCGTTCCCAGGTGACAGTGCTGGTGTTCGGTGACCCTTGTCTTACTTAGCCTCGCTCTCCAAGTGAAAAAACCGTGGTGTTGGCAGTGAATTTTGTGACAGTGTGATGTTCCCATTGTTTTATAGTTAGAGATTATTGTTAATTTCATACTGTGCCTAATTTACAAATTAAACTTTAATCAGAGGTATGCAACATAAGAAGAAAGCCCCACAGCAGGGTGGGCTCATGACACCTGAGACGTCCCTCTGCACCTCTCGGATCCGCCAGCGGGCTGTGCGCGCTGCCGTGCTCACTGCAAGCATCAGGGCTGGTGATTTTGTGGAAATGATTTCCCTTTAGAGATTATTTATTTCTATACTAGAATATACGTTTTCGGTATATAGTAATTGCACTTACTGTGGGGCTCTGGTGCATGCACAGCATGCCCGAATTCTTTCTTAAACTCCCACCCCAGGCTTTCTGCATCTCTCGGTCCTCTTCTGTTGTTTGCAAAAGATCTCGCTCCCTGTTTCCTGTTATTTGCCTTTTGCTTTGCTCTTTATTTATATTTCGGATTTCTCAGACAAGAGAGAGCAAGTGATACTTAGGCTTGCGTATGCGTCTGATTTTTCGCATAATGTTACGGCCTCCAGTTGCGTCCGTTTCCCTGCAGACGCCTCCGATACATCCTCGCTGGTGGCAGGCTGGTGCTCTGCTGTGAGCGGCTCCTCCCACGCCTGCTGCTGGGCAGAGAGGCTGCTTCCAAGATTGAGCGAGTGTGAATTTTGCTGCCATGAACGTGGATGTGCGCTGAGCTCTGGAAAATGATGTTTTTAACTCTTTTCGGGAGACACTAGAAGGGGAGCAGCAGGGGTGGAGGGATTTCCACTGGTAGGTTTTTGAGGAAGCTCCATTCTGATTCCCACAGTGATTATGCTAATTTATACTTCTGCCCACAGTGTAGAGTGTCCCTTTCTCCCCCAGCTCCGCCAGCACTGTCACTGGATTTCTTGGTGACGGTCACTCTGTGGAAGTAGCTTCTTGGGGAGGCCGCAGCTGCAGGGTAAAGGGAGCTTCAGGTTGAGCACGCAGTCTACAGACCTGGTGCGGCCGGCTGTGGGTGGTGGGGAGCCACCGGCTCGTGCTCTCAGGTGCTCCATTGAGGAAGACTCCGGACTGAAGAGAAATCGGTGACCCAGACCCTCGCAGCCTGTCCCATGGCAGAAGTGGCTCCATCACAGACACTGACGAACAGTTCAATGCTTGGTCTTGCTTCTCTTTGCAGATTGCTGACTTCGGGCTTTCCAACCTGTACCAGAAAGACAAGTTCTTGCAAACGTTTTGTGGCAGTCCACTGTATGCATCTCCTGAAATTGTCAATGGGAGGCCTTACCGAGGGCCAGAGGTGAGCAGGCTGCCGGCGGTGTGCATGGGGGGGCTGGGCTGGAAGAACGTGGGAGGAAAGGACCAGATCCAGGAAGCCCTAGTGGAGCGAAGAAGGCTCATCCTCATATGATTGTGAAAGCAATTGTACGGGTACCTGGAGGACCTTTGGGAAATCCAGAAAAGCCCTGGGGAGAAGTTACTGGCGGCCCCACCAAGAGACACCCATTGTAACTTTCAGACTTTTCCAATGTAGATAGCTGCATTTTAAAAATAATTGAGAGTACAAAAATAATTGGGATCATCTAACAATAGCTGAGATCAAGTTAAGAAAGGGCAAGCTATCTGTACTTCAGTACACATATGTGTACGTTTCACATTCTATTAAGTGAAAATTATATTGTGATGTATCCCAGATTTATTATTAGTAAAATATGATTTGCAGTGACAGCTTTATATGAGTATACTGTAATATGTTTAATAATGTTTCTAGATTTGCACTGAATTCAGATTTCCTCTATTGCATGAGTACACAGAGAAGGCACTGCAAGGTCACTGACTCTTCAGTATTGTAGATTAAAAAAGCTCTTTTGGTCTCTAACGGTTAGTGTGTGATGTTATAGACTGGTAGTCTGTGATCTGGCCGTAAACGTGTTCACTTAACCACATTTGTCTTTGTAAAAAATTGAACAAACATTTAATAATTGGGAGACGTCACAGAGAACTCTGGTTTCTGATTTCTCTTTAAAAAAACCAAAGGCTTCTGCCGTGTTGGGCCCACATTTCAGTATGGCAGCCTTTAGGTGCGGGAGTTGGTCTGCCCGAGGTTGGGAGAGGCGTTCCACAGTGTGTCTCTGAGTCCCGCACTCCACATTCCATCTCAGTTCTTTCTTCTGTGGTCCAAGCTTGTTGCCTGCCTGGTTCTTATAAGTTTTGCATTTTGTAGCCATTTGAACAAGGTGCAGGAAGGACTGGGAGGCCTCTGGAGAAACCATTTAGCTGCCTTGTACCTTAATATTCTCGTCTGTCAAATGGGGCTGGGTCGTCCAGGTCCTATTGCTTCAGAGTGAGGAGAGAAACCAAAATACAAATGCATTAAAGAGCAAGTTAAAACAAGGGCCAGCCAGACAGCTCAGCAGACTAAAGCACCTGTTTAGGCAGCGCACAGGGACTGGGGTCCAACCCCCGGTGTGCCATACTGGCCTGCCCCTGGGTGCATTGAGATGGCGATTGAGACTGGGCGTGGTGGCATGCTGCAAACAGGAGGACCACTACGAGTTCGATCTGTGTAGTGAGACTCTGGAGGCCCTGTACTAAATACATAAAAAAGGAGAGCAAGTTAAAATAGAGATGGTAAGTGTCTTGGTTACTTTTCTTGTTGGCGAGACAAAATACCTGATATCCTCAAATTAAAGGATGAAACGTTTGTTTTAGCTCACAGTCTGTAGAGGTTTTGCTGCATCGTCGGCTGGTTCCAAGCCGGGGCAGCATGGTAGAAGAAGAACAGCCCATGGCAGAGCAGGTAGCAGGCGGCACGCAGCCAGCCTTCCTCTCCCTCGGATGCCTTCCGTGCCGCAAGCCCGTTGGTGGTGCCGCTGCACCCAGAGAGTGCTTTCCCATCATCCCTTGTCTCCCCCAGAACTGTACCGAGCCAGCAGCAGATTAATTTAGTGCCAGCAGCACTCCTCCTCCCAGGACCACACCTCTGATGCAGCCCTGTGAGCACATGATACAAGCCAGAGCAGCAGGAAATGAGACAGACTCTGGAGAGGGGAAGTGCTTCCAGAGAAGAGGGGAGATGAGGGGAAGAGGCAGCAGTGAATAAAATGATCGCGGTGCCAGCGGTGTGTACGTCACAAGATGAGTGCAGTTACTGTGTATCACCAATGGATCCGAATAGAAAAAAAACCACCCACATGCTGAAATGGAAACAAAAGAAGAACTGTGGTCGCAGCTAATTCGGCTTTCTGTAGGCAGATACAGTTGGTCACAGGAAAGGAGGAGGAAAATAAATTTTAAAAGTGAAATAGACCAAAATGTATGTGGAGACATGGGAATGACTAGAGTATCATGAAAGTTTAAAGTTTGAGATAGAATTATGCTGAAAGAGATACTGTGCTGAATATGTTGTTATTTTTATAAAACCATCAGTTTTTAAAATTGAAGAAACAACGTGTGTGTTTATAGAAGATATTTAAAAGCACATGGCAGATGTGTTATAAAATGGCATCGTAGTGAAAAAGAGGAGGAAGGAGAAGAAGACGACCCGCCTCAGCTGGTAAATAGGCCAGCCTGCTGCAGGCTTGTCTCACGGCTGTCGCTTGTCATCTGCGGTGGCAGCCACCTGCCAGGTGCCCGAGCCAGCTCGTGGGGGCGTGGTGAGTGGCTCGCCATGTGCCGTGCCTGGTCCAGAAGCCTCCGGGCACTGGTTCTCAGCTCCTTTGTTTCCTGTCTTCCTGCTCCAGGTGGACAGCTGGGCGCTGGGCGTGTTGCTTTACACCCTTGTTTATGGGACGATGCCCTTTGATGGTTTTGATCACAAAAACCTCATCCGGCAGATCAGCAGCGGAGAGTACCGGGAGCCCACACAGCCCTCAGGTGGGTGCCCTCCAGGGGTGGCCGGGGGTGGCTGGCCACCTGCCCTGGCCCGTGTGCTCTGCCTATGATGCCAGGGAATCCGTGGGTGAATGCAATACATGGCAAACGTTTGACTTAGCAAATGATTAATATAAGACACATCAGGAGTCCCCCTCCGAATCTCCTCCGTGGCTTCGAACACCTATCCCATCTTGAGTTCTTGCCACTTTCTGAAGCAGCTGTGGGATCTTCCTTCTCAAGTGTCTTTCGAGGCCTAATCAAAACAGGATGAATGCTGTGGCTCAGTGGGACGGAAAGGCAGGCCCCTAACAACACGGTGGCACCCCCTTCACTTCATTTACCAAATCAAGCCCTGGGCAGCTCCTGATTCTGCCCTGAAGTCAAAATGGCTGCAAAAGGGAAGTTCTGGTGTCAGCTCGGGAGACTGAGGCAGTAGGGACAGTGCTTTGGCCCTCTGGAGTACCTGGGGGTGGAACTCAGGCCCAGCTATGGTCATGTGGTCCTCGGGCCTCTGCGGCACCCCATGCCCCTCTCCCGATTTCCTGGCCGCCGAAATTTGCAAGGGGGAGTCTCAGGAAGCCATGAGTGCCAGGGTAGCAGACACGGATTGGTTGTCTGGTGCAGCTCAGGGGAAGGCAGTGAGCTCGGTGGGCTTCCCTCCAGAGCCAGGCCCAGAACTGGGGTGCTGTCCCTGCCGGGGTGCTGGGCGCGGGCCACACCGGCACCAGTGGGCGCCTGCAGCCCCTCTCCCCATGCTAGAGCTGTGGTGATCAACACCCGCTCTTCCTTTGGGTGAAGTGATGCCCTCCAAGGACTGGCCGGGGGAGACCTGCCTGGGTGGAGTCAGGGCCTTGTGCGCCTCTGTGCAAACTGGGTAGACCCAGGCTGTTCTTCCCTCGCCCTCTGGGTGTGGCTGTGCTTCCGAGTGACTCAGGCACTCCGGCTTCCTTCTCAGGGTCCCCAGCACAACAGGGTGGTCTTCAGGCGGCACCTAATTCTGTCTCTTGTCCCCAGATGCCCGGGGGCTCATCCGGTGGATGCTGATGGTGAACCCTGATCGCAGAGCCACCATCGAGGACATCGCCAACCACTGGTGGGTGAACTGGGGCTACGAGAGCAGCGTGTGCGACTGTGACTCCCTGCACGACTCCGAGTCCCCGCTCCTGGCGCGGATCATTGGCTGGCAGCACCGATCCACAGGGCTGCAGGCAGAGGCGGAGGCCAGGATGCGAGGCCTGGCCAAACCCGGGGCCCCTGAGGCCACACTGGAGCGGCAGCGCTCGCTGAAGAAGTCCAAGAAAGAGAACGACTTTGCCCAGGCCAGCCAGGACCCGGGGGCTGAGGGGGCGTCCAAGCTGAGCTCCAAGAGGCCCAAAGGCATCCTGAAGAAGCGGAGCAGCAGCGAGCATCGCTCCCACAGTGCCGGCTTCATTGAGGGTGTCACGGGGCCCACTACTTTCAAGGTAGAGCATGACTTGTGCCGGACAGCAGGGCCCCTTGCAGGCTCCCCCGAGGCGGACATGCCGGGGACCCTCAGCCCCAAGCAGTCGGCCACCATGCCCAAGAAAGGCATCCTGAAGAAGACCCAGCAGAGAGAGTCGGGTTACTACTCATCGCCGGAGCGCAGTGAGTCTTCTGAGCTGCTGGACGGGGATGATGGTGCGGGCGGTGGCCTCCCTCCCCTGAGTCCCCCAGCCCCGGCCCGGCCAGCCTCGCACAACCTGTCCTGCCGGAGGAAAGGCATCCTGAAGCACAGCAGCAAGTACTCGGGAACACCCACACTGGAATCCCTGTCGGAGCCTGGGGTCCCTGCTGCCGAGGGGCTGTCCCGGAGCTACAGTCGGCCCTCTAGCGTCATCAGCGACGACAGCGTCCTGTCCAGCGACTCCTTCGACCTGCTGGATCTGCAGGAGAGCCGGCCCGCCCGCCAGCGCATCCGCAGCTGTGTCTCGGCGGAGAACTTCCTTCAGATCCAGGACTTTGAGGGGCTCCACAACCGGCCGCGGCCCCAGTACCCGAAGCGGTACCGGAACCGGCTGGCGGACAGCAGCTTCTCTCTCCTCACGGACATGGATGATGTGACTCAGGTGTACAAGAAGGCCTTGGAGGTCTGTAGCAAGCTCAACTAGCATTGCGGGTGCAGGGACAGTGCGACTCGCAGGCTGCTTCCCTTGTCGCTGGCCCCGAACACCGACAGGACTGGCACCGTCTGGCTTAGACGAGTGTGGTCACTGACGAGGGGAAGTGGGCTCTCGCCAGTTCTGCCCACTGCCAGTCAGAACTTGGGTCCTGATCGGCATCACACCTGGCACTAGGTGGAGGATGGGCAGGGGGTGCTGGCCAGCACTTAGTGTGGGGGGAGGGGCGTTGGAAGCCACCCACAGGCTTCCGGAGGAGGGCAGGAGAGACTGGGGCCGTGTGCCTTGGATGAGCCATGAGAGCTTGCTCCTTTTGTCTCTGTGTTAGCAAGCTTGGTCTGCTGCAGGGGGCTCGCAAGATGATTCAGGAACCAGACCTGAGTTGGCAGTCGATTGCTCCTGGCCCGATAGTAATGGCTGCCACGGAATGGAGAAGGAAGACGTAGAGCTCCTGCTTGCTCTTGTCATCTTGTCAGCCCTTGGAATAGGTGAAGGCAGCCTGTGGCATCTGGGCTAGTGCTTTGTACCTGTAGGGTGGCATCCGAGGGGGAGACACAGTCTTGCTGGGGGAAAGCATGCTCTGAACTCTGCCAGGGAAGCCGTGCCTGCCCAGGGGGGCTTTTGGCTCCTGCTGTCTTCACCCCTTCTTTCTTTAGGTCTGCCCTGCTCCTCAGCACAGCTCCTGAGGGTGGGAGAGAACGGGAGGGCAGCGTGGGGCCCGAGCTGTCGCATGTGACCGTTCAGCTCCTGTGCACCAGCTGGAGCTGGGGTGCAGCGCTGCGCCTGGCCTCCAGGGGACTGGCAGGCTCAGCCCCGGCCTGTGCACCGTGAGCAACTGCCCTGTCCCTGAAGCATCCGAGTCCGCTGAAGGGAGTTAGCACAGTGGCAGCGAGGGTTCTAGGTCTTGGCTTAGGGCTGTGGGGAGGATGAAGGTTCCACCCCTTCAAGCAAGCAGGGGTCAGAAGAGCAGGAGGGAGTGCGGGAAGCGGAGAGGGCAGGGACGTTTCCTTACTGGTCACCCACATGTTCCAAGGGAGGCAGGAAAGAAGACACCACGGGACTCTGCAAGTATTTAAATGAGGTGTGCAATTTCTAGCCACCCTGATTAGAGGGGGCATGGCTTCCGCAAGGGTAGGGCCCTCTGGGATGACTTCACACTTGACTGGCTTAGGCAAATGGAAGTCTGTATGTCACAGGGGCTGGCTTCCGGCAGGACTGGCCTAGGGAGACCTTTGGGAAAACTAGACTTCCCCTCGCAGCGCTCAGGACGTGTGTGAGGGTATGATCGCCTCTTCCTTCAGGAGATGGCCCCGTCCCTCGCTGTCAGTTCTGGTCTTCCTGCTGCTGCCTTCCTCCAGCTCCAGCCGGGCATGTTTCCTGGGAAGCTGCTTGGTTTCCTTCCATTCAGCTCCTTCTCCTTCCTGAACTCCAAGAGAGGCTAAAAGGAAGTGCACTCGGTGCACAGCAGACTGCATTCAGGCTGTGGGGGCGTGGAGGGTGCCCCTGGCCTCGGGGAGCTCTCTGCTTCTGGCCGGCCACCCTCAGTCTTCTCTGGCCAGCTTGTACGCCACACCCTGGTCCCACCCGCAGCTGTCCCTGTGACTTGGGTGTCCCAGCCACCTCCCAGCCCATGGCTTTCCCTGTTGCCAGTGACAGCATCTGCTTAGTTCTTTTCCAACACTCTAATCTTTAGTGTCTGGGTTTACACTGTTAGGGAAGCCCACTCCCTTCTCTCTCTGCCCCGACGCCAAGGTGTCCTCCTGTGTCTAAGTTCTGTGGATCTAGGTGAAGACAGATATGGAGAGCAGCCCCGGTCTACCCTAGAGCTCCGTGGGCCAGGCAGCACTGGGGGCTGTTCTCCTGTCCTGCTCTCGGGCCTGCTGCGTGCTGACTTTCTGCTGACGTTGCTGGCTGTGGGATGTAATGTTGAGGCCACTTTCCAGGAAAAACTGGGAGTGGAGGGAAAGGCCCTTCCCACAGCCTCTGCTTTTACCTTGCTAAACCCGTCGCCCCTACCAGCCAAGCCCCAGCCAAAGAGATTATGCTTGAATCATTTCCATGGAATTACGAGAGAGAGACACTTGGGCCACCCGGTGGATGGTGGACGGAGCTGGAGATTCCGTGTCAGCTCTCCACGCCCTTTCCTGGCCTCTGGGGACCTTTCAGCATCTTAGTTTACACATCTACCAAAGGGGTAGAACTAACTTCTTTTTACAGGTAAACGTCAAGCAAGGCAGGATCAGTTTTCAGGAAGTGCTTCAAGACCCCAGGCGACAGGAAAATGCTTAGTGTCCTGGAGTTTCCACCCGCCGTGCCTCCTGGGATGACACAGGGCACGCCTTGGGGGGGGGCGAAATTCAGGCGAGTTCTGCCCAGGCCTGCTGTCTTGAGTAGAAATGTGAATGGTTGACTGCTTGTTTCCAAACTGGAAATGTTCTGTAGGGATTTACTGGCATGGCATCATTCCTAGGGGAGGGGAGTGAGAAAAACTTGACTGCACATTTTTTTAAAAATCCATGTTGTGACTTTTATTTAATTTCTATTTTTTTTTTTGGTAATAAAAGTTGACTTTTTAATTTGAATTTGTCTTTTTTTATTTATTGGTCTGAAAGGCATTTCAAAGGTATTATAATAATATATTGGTATAATTTAATTGGTGCACATGCTTTAGGGCTCCAGTCAAAATTCATTTGCGCTCATTTGATTGGTTTGAGAACAATCTACAGGGAAGAAAAGCTGGACAGCCACCCAAAGTGTTTGTATTTTCATTGGAAAATGATTTTTTTTTTGTTTCTGTTTGTATTTTTAAATTAAATAAATTGCAACGAACTGAACTGAACGGGAGTCTTGCTTCTTTACTTTTGGTCATTTTTCTTATCAAAGTGATGGACTGGGTGTGACAGAAATTGACCCAGCCCAGTGGGGCACTGAAGGTTCTGAGGTCCCTGAGAAGGGACACCGCTCGCGGGGCACAGGGTGGGTGCCTGAGAAGGGAGGCTGCAGAGAGCTGCACGTTCTCCTTCCCACTTCCCTTTGCGTGCTGGTTCTGCTCTTATCTGTGGCTGTGACGGGGTACACAGCCCACCCCAGGACAAGGCATCAGAAAGCCATGCTCTGCTCTTGAGAGGAGCACGGAGTCCCCAAAGGAAAAGTCTGACAGCTCTGGCCCTATTGCCGATCTCTTGGAAGACCCTCCAGTGTCAGTGTCACATTTCCTGCAGTTCTGTCTGATTCTGGGACCCACACTGACCTGCCCCATATAGCTTCCAAATTCACGTATGTTCAGGAGTGGCTTCCAGACACCAAGGCTGATACTTACCCCCCAATCCCCTACACAAATGTCCCTCCCAGGGGGAGGTGACTGCTGACCTGCTTGGTCAGGGTCAAGACCAATGAGCATCACAGTCCGGCGGGGAGGGCCGCTCCTCCGCTCAGTGATGTGGCATCTACAGCCCCATTTTACCTTCATTCTCTGGGAAGCTCTTGGAATGAGGGGTGAGTAACAGGCCAAAAGTGGGGAATGCTTGGGCCTTAGTATCAGGTGAGATCAAATCCTGCCCTGGTAGCAGTGAAAACGCCACAGCTAGCGGACCACTACGGTGTCTGTGGAAAGAGGCTGAGTTTGCTAAGAACGGCCAGTTCATACCCTTTTCTGAACTACTGAGAGAACCTGAGATTGTACTTCTAACAACCACCACCAAGTGGCCAGTTAAGTTAGAATAAATTTTGTCCCACACAACATTTGAGTCATGCTTATGGTAAAAGGAATCCCACGAGGCCTTCTGTATCTTACCTGGGTGCCTCAGGTGGGGCTCCCAGCTGGACCAGGTGTGGAGTATCACAAAGGCTAGGAAATGGCTGGGGAATGGATGCCGACAGTTGCTGCCGGCTGGAGCGCGGCATGCCAGTGGCCCTCGAGCCGGGGCATGTGGTCTGAATTCTGGTTCCAGTCTGAACTTGGCGGTAAGAAGTCCCTCAGCTCTTCGGGGCTCAGCTTTCTGCACTGAGCAATGGCTTCTCTAACAACAGGACCACGAGGAATTTGCCTCGAGTGTAAAACTCCGTGGGCGTTCCTTGCAGAGGCACTGTGCCTGGCCTGCAGGCTCTAAGTTCCTCCCGCGGTCCCTGTGCCACGGTCCCTGTGCCACGAATACGTGGGAAGCCACCAGGGCTGCCAGTCCTCTGCGGAGCCACGGGCCAGGCAGAGGCTCACTTGGCAGTGAGGCCTTTGGAAGCGGTAGCCCTGCGCGCAGGTGGGGGATAAACGGTACATGCGCAGCTGAGGCTCGGCCAGCTGGGGTGCAGAAAGGGCAGAGAGGAAGTGGGGTGGCCATGGTGGAGGCAGGCGATATGTCAGCTGTTGGGGGTGGCCATGGACAGGGGTCACTTTCAGGATTTTTTAGGGAAGGGTCTACAGGGTGTTCAGGGTCTCACTACTAGATGGGACTCTTAGTGATCCACCTGTTTACAGCCTTCCAAGAGCTGGGATTACAGGCATGCTCCACCATGCCCAATCTCCACTGGCATCTCAGGGTGGGGGGGGCAGGGCTGGCATGGTAGGCCCAGGGATCGAACCCTTGGCCCCTGAGCCTGCTTGCAGGCGCTTTAATCCTCTGAGCTATTTGGCCGGCCCTAGAACTAATGTTTATTAGACTTTTACACAATGCCACTGCATCCTTATGTGGTGGCAAATGGCAGAAACTCACAGACCACGTTAAGAAACACTAATTTACTGCTTCACACGTGAGAAGTCCAAGGAGCTTGCCTCAGGCAGATAGATCCAGGGGCTCAGGGAGGGCACTGGCTTCTATCTCAGGCAGGATCTCTCCACATGGTGGCAAATAGTTCTGGTGGCGGTGGAGTTGTGCATCATCTTGGAATCTGAAGGTTCTTACTGCCCTAGCAGCTGTGCAACAAGGTAGGCTCTAGATCAGCTTTGTCTGGGTCACGTGGCTCTGCTGGCCCAGCCTCCCGATGGACAGGTGCTCCAATTGGTCTATCTGGATCATGTGACTGCCCTTGCACCACGTGACCGCTCCACGTCCTGGAGTGAGTGCTCCTCCCCAGCGAGCGCTGTGGAAGGCACCGCGCCGGCAGAGGGAAGTCATGCTCCTCATCTCCCTTCAGCCTCCATTTCTGCATTTAGAACGTTACTTCATGTCCAACTTTTAGTTATTATGAAGATTACACGAAATGAAATACCTAATTGAGAGCCTGCCTCAGATTTTTAACTTATACATATGATCTCAGTGAAGACAGCAGTGGTAGTTCTACAGAGAAGACATAGTTGTTAGGAAGAGCCTACTGTGGAACCGGCTGCGCCACCGCAATCCAGCTGGAATGCGCTTCCGCAGGGTAGGAGCTTCGTGAGCTGTCTTCCTGGGGACGTGCAGGTGCGGT